CAAGGATATGTAAAAGGAAGAGCACCAACCAAGATGAACGCACAACAGTTGGTGTTTGAGTTGAAACAGAAGGTGGTTCTTGCACTAAACAAGCTTGCAGATCGAGACACTTACCAAATTGGGTATGATGAGCTTGAAAAAACAGCTGAATGCATTGCTCCTGATATGATTCCCCCTTTCTTGTCCTGTATATTGGACATAGATTCAGAACAGAAGAGCGCCGTTCGACAGGAATGTATTCGGCTAATGGGGACTCTGGCAAAATCCCATGAAGGTCTTATAAGGCCACACCTTCGTAGGATTGTTGGTAGCATTGTGAAGCGGCTTAAGGATTCAGATTCTGCTGTGAGGGATGCTTGTGGGGAGACGTGTGGAGTTTTAGCTTCGAAATTGATTAGTGTTGGAGATGAGAGTGATGAAGTTTTTGTTACTCTTGTAAAACCAATCTTTGAAGGCTTGGGAGAACAACATAAGCAAATGCAGACAGGTTCAGCATTTTGCTTGGCAAGGATTATTGACAACACTCAGGATCCACCGGTTTCGATTTTGCAGCGGATGTTGGCAAGAACTACAAAGCTACTTAAGAATCCACACTTCATGGGGAAGCCGGCTGTAATTGATTTGAACAGAAGTATCATACAGGTTATTCTTTTTTCACGTCTTGAGTTTCTTTAACATTACGTTTTTAAGACCTTGCTACATACTTCTTTTTTTGTCTGCACTTCTAACCAAAAATAGACGCATATAGGTTTTTATTTTATATCTTTTTGTGTACTCAAACTAGGTACATATTTGTAACGGCCCAAACCCACCACTAGTAGATATTGTCCTCTTTAGGCTTTTCCTTTTGGGCTTCCTCTCAAGGGTTTTATAACGTGTTTGCTGGAAAGAGGTTCCTACACCCTTATAAAGAATGTTTCGTTCCTTTCTCCAGTCGATGTGGGACCCCTAATCCACCCCTGTAGGGCCGAACGCCCTTGCTGACACACCACTCGTGTCCACCTCCCTTCGGGGCTCAGGTTCCTCGCTGGCACATCGCCGAGTGTCTGGCTCTGATACCATTTGTAACAGTCCAAGCCCACCGCTAGCTGACATTGTCCTCTTTGGGCTTTCCCTTTCGGGCTTCCCTTCAAGGTTTTTAAAACGTATCAGCTAGGGAGAAGTTTCTACATCCTTATAAAGAATGCTTCGTTCTCCTCCCCAACCGATGTGAGATCTCACAATATCTGATTTATTTTATTTGGTCAGTGATTGATAGCCAAAATATATTTGATTTCCAAGTATTGCATCATTTCTTTTCCCTGCTCTCGTGTCATATCCTAATGTGTCCTTCAGTCAAGCTTAGTCTTTGTTTTCACTTTAGATTTTAAACAGTTCAGAGAAAGGATTTAGCAACTTTCTGATGCTTATTGTTGCCTGCTAATGGGTTTTTACTTCAATATTCACTATGAATGTATTGTATACAACAAGAAACAAACCGTCATCACTTCAACATCTTAGTTATGGCAGTAGGGATAGAGAAAGTAAATGCCAGCCATCTATAGATTGGTCTTATGGTGCTTATATTATCAAGATTATTTCATTTGGGCAACTATTGTAAAGCTTTAGTGTCTTAAGAAAGTATTTAAAATATGGTTCCGTTTGTCTATGTATAACAGGCTGGGGGTGCTTCAAATCGAAATGTTCTCTCTGCTGCAATGCTTGGCATCCAAGAAGCTCTCAAGAATAGTGATTGGACAACTCGTAAAGCTGCTTCTGTTGCGTTAGGTGACATTGCTACAAGCTGTGGGTCCTTCCTGGGGTCTTTTAAGGCTTCCTGCATTCGGTCCCTTGAATCATGTCGATTTGATAAGGTAGGACCAATAGCATACATAAATATATTAGAAATATGAAACTGCATTGTGAGATCCCACATTGATTGGAGAGGGGAATGAAACATTCCTTATAAGGGTGTGGAAACCTCTCCCTAGCAGACGCGTTTTAAAACCATGAGGTTGACAACGATATGTAACGGGCCAAAGCGGACAATATATGCTAATAGTGGACTTGAGCTGTTACAAATGGTATCAGAGCCAGTCATCGGGTGGTGTGCCAGCGAGGATGCTGGGCTTCCAAGGGGGGTGGATTATGAGATCCCACATCGATTGGAGAGTGGAACGAAGCATTCCTTATAAGGATGTGGAAACCTCCCTAGCATACGCTTTTTTAAAACTGTGAAACTGACAACGATACGTAACGGGTCAAAACGAACAATATCTGCTATTTGTGGGCTCGGGCTGTTAATGCATCTATTGTTCCGCTTAATTTTGAAAATGAAGTTTTAAACTTATTTTGTATCCGATAGGTGAAACCAGTCAGGGATATTGTACTCCAGACCCTTCAATATTGGAATAACGTTCAAGGGCCTGATACTCCTGAACCTTCAGAAGCTGGATCATCAATCAAAGGTCTATTGGTCAATGCCTGATGCCAACATAACTGCTTAGACTATGTTTGTTTTAGTTTCTGCCCTGTTTCATGTTTTATATTCTTACCTTTTATTTACCTATCTTTCATTCTTTGCACAGAAAACCTTTGTGGGGGTGACTTCAGTGACGTTACTAGTTCTGTAGAACATGGCAAGAAGGATGCTGCAATTAGGAAAGTAGGTATGGGCTCTACCAGAGGGAGGATTCCACTAAACATGAGGAAAACTTGTCCAAGATATTTGGAGAACACTCAGCATTTTAAAGCAAATGATTGTCATATTGAAATAGCTGTTCCACAAAAGCACAATCAGTCATTATCAGGATTTTACACTGAAGAATCTGAAGGTAGTACAATTACAAAGACATTTCAAGGAGTGAGTACTGATGCTACAGACATGCAAGATATTGAATATGATTATGTCAGAATGGATGACAAACAAGAATGTTCCTCTGAAGACAGCAATATGCATAAATCAACAGACAGAAATAAGCGGTTTGTTGCTGAAGAGGCTACGAGCGAGGGGCAAATATACTCAACAAAGGTGAAGGATCGAAGAAGTCTCGATTCTGTGGTCACAGAGTCTAGTTGTCAGGTTGTACAAGAATGTGACTCGGAAATTGCAAATGATATGGTTTGCATCCGAAAACATCTCCTGGAAATCGAAAACAAGCAGTCAAACTTGATGGACTTATTCAAGGTAATACTTTTTGTGTATGGAATATCTTTTGTTCTTCTCAGACTGATCCACTGATTCTTCTCTGTGAAATTGATATCAGGAGTTCACTTCGGGCATAATGGATAGCTTGTCAGTCATACAATCAAGGGTGGTGGGTTTAGAACATGTTGTGTATGGATTATCTCAGGATCTTTTGAATGGGAATAGAGAATCTGAGCTTTCAAACTCAAAGTTCATGAAGCAGAACCAAAGCTTGAATTCTCCTAGGCTTTCTACAAGCACGCCTAGGCCATCAGTAGATATTGCAGGGAGACAGTCTTCGTTATTGTCACTTAAACATTCTAACATATGGGATGAAAATGTTGCTGTTAGGAGCCAATTGAGTAATGCATCAAAACGTGGAACTGATATTTGGAGAAAGACCAATTCAGTTAAGAATCCTCCTGAGAAGGATCTTCAAAATAGTAGCAGCAGCCGTCACTTGCGAAATGCTAATGCAGTGTTTTCTTCATCTCCCTGTGCTAGACAATTTACAGATGGAAAGAACAGCATTTTGAAACGTGTGTCCGGTTTCCTTCGACAAGGTGATGTCGATACAGCATACATCGAAGCCTTGCGTTCTGTTGATGAAGCTGTTCTGTTTGAACTTCTTGATCAAACAGGGCCTGTTCTTGAATGTTTGTCACCTAAAACTATCAGCAACATCCTTCGCGTTTTGGCATCATTTCTCCCAGAGCAAAAGTTTATACGCTGTGTAATACCTTGGTTGCAGCAGGTAAATTTCATATACACTCTTTCCAACCTTGTGATTTGGTTTTATCTATCTGATTCTATAACGGCTCAAGCCCACCACTAGCAAATATTGTCTTCTTTGTGTTTTCCCTTTCGAGCTTCCCTTCAAGGTTTTTAAAACGCGTTTTCTAGGGAGAGGTTTCCACACCCTTATCAAGAATGATTCGTTCTCCTATCCAACCGACATGGAATCTCATAGATTCTGAATGGATATCACATTCCTTTTCTTGCCCTTGCTAGTAACTTTACATGGTTTGTTTGTCATGTAACTGTAGGTAGTTGATTTGAGCACAATGCATGGAGCAAATTCTCTTGGTCTCTCAGCCAAAGAAAGACAAGAATTTGTTCTTGCCATCCAGGAGGCTTCAAAGAGTGAATTTTCTAATCCTGCAGAAACAAGACTTATGACTCAGCTAGCAACAAAATTGTGCTATATATGGGGTAAGTTTATTCACCATACACTTGATAAAATAACGGACTTCTATGCTTAATGCTTGGTTTGTAGCTGTGAAATTTTACTACGCCTGCAACTGCAACCAGTCTGCAAAAATTGTTTCTTGAAAAACATTCTGTGTGAATAGGGCAAGGCTCGTGATCGGAGGCGATAGACGTAGATCTCACTGGCAAGGTCTTGTTTCCAAAGATTCCCAGACTGGATTTCAGGTAAGGGAGATAGGAAGTTTGTACTTGTACTTGCAGTTATAGTCATTTGTAGCTTCCAGATTTTCTAAGGTTGTTCTTCTGCAAGTTGATTTTTAGGCTGTGGCTGTAGCTGAATTGGAATGCAATTTGTTCATTGGTCTCCAATCTTGATATAAGTTTGAAGTGCATATAGGTAATGAAGCCAGAAACTATACTTAGAACTTGGAACCGAACGCGAATTTTACTGAAAAAATGAAAAAGAAAAGAAAAGAAAATCAACATAATAGCCATTTCACGCGTCTCAAAATCGATCAAGATGAACTTCTCGTTCGAGCAATAAAATACATACACTACATCGATCTAAAGCTATCAAGAACTCGACCATGATTGGTCAACCACGATGTTGAACTCATGCAACAAATAAAGAGCATGTAAATCTAACTCAATAAGAAATAATTGGATAACACCTTCGTTGTCACAACAATCATACTATAAACGAAGAATAACAAAGCACACATCACATGTGGATGCAGCAATTCAATGATCAAGCCAATTGCAGTAGCTACAGAACCAATTGATAGATCATCCTGGAAGTGCAACAAATAAAGAATGGAGAGGGAGAAGAGCTCGCAAGGCATGTCGCAATGTCGGGGACACATGGAAAGGTCGCTAATCGAACTTTCTGGTCAGATCACAGCATGAAATTACGATTGATTAACATAAAGTACGGGGACAAGCCCCGCCATTTTACCATCCCTCCCTGGACGTTTCTTTTTCACCTGCAACAGTAACAACAGTACATTAGTTCTAGCTGCTAATACCATTATTGCATTCAGGTAAACAAGTTATCAACCAAAAATGAGTTCCATCTTCCCTTTAACTAAAGATAGAAAGCGAAATGTAAACATCATGAAACTGTCGAATAATATAAACGACTTTGATCCTTGGTTTCTACAGAGTGCATAAAAGCTGTAAAATTTCGCATCTCCTTTCATTATACTCACATAGAACCAGCCATCCACTTCGTACTCAATTTCAACCTCTTCACCAGCCGTTAAACTTAACTGCAAGACAAGAAACAACCAATAGTCAACGTAAATATTATAGCACCAAAGCTTAGTGCTACCTTCTCATGTTCTTCCATTGAGAAAAAACAGAAAAGCAAATGGAAACCACAATATGATATTAAAGAGCAAGTAACCTCATCATCACCACCAGCAGTGAAGTCATAGAGAGCGGATCCATGTTGTGGATTTCCAGACGAGGCACGGTCTTCTTGAGATCCAAAACTCTGAGCGTCACACCCTGCTAAGGGGTTCTCAAATGATTCGTACCGTTGCATATCACAAGGTGAATATGGAAGGGGATCTTCCCTGATCTGAGAAGCATGAAGATTCAATTAGAAGCAGAAACTACTCGACAAAACTTACGGAGATACAATGAACAAATATCAAACCGGAGAATTTAAACCCTCGTGTATTGTTGGATTACTAAACCTGCTTGCTCCTGATCTTTCCTGGAGATCATTAGTACGCGTCACAAATGAAAAAAATGAACAGCAGCAATGCAACAAGTTAAAATTTTAATATCATACCGAAGTTTGGATACCGCCATAGGAAGGTCGTGAACTAAACAATGAAGGATAGTTCATTCCACCAAAGTGAGAAGATATGGAAGTTTCAACTGAGCCTGTCGACTCAGGAGAGGACGTTCCAGACGACCGTGCATCATCTTCCTGAAATTCAAAGGAATACACAGTTGGAAATCACCAAAACATCTCAGTCCAGCACTCACCAAACTGCAAACTCTTCATGGAAAAGTAAATCATAGTACCTCTAGTTCCGAACTCTCTAAGAGAGTTTTTGCCCACATGTCATCATAACTAACCGATGGCCGAGAGACGATATTCTCTTCATCGACGTCAGGCGCATCGGTTCCAGCACCAGCAAGAAATTCATTAACCTAATGGCAAGTAAAGATGAGATAAATCAAAATGGAAAACAGAAGGTCAATTAGAACAGCTTAAATCCATCCTTTAAATGATATCAGTAGCACTCTAAAAGACATACTCTGCTCATTGCTGGTGCACTGCTTCCTAGCAGCCCATCGTCACCAAGATTGGCTGCCCAAGCATTCACTAGGTCGTCATCAAGAGCATCTGGCTCATTGGTTGCAGGTTTTGATTCATAAATAAGATCAGAAATGCCAGTAGCAACGGCTGGATCACTCAAACCAGTTGATGCACTTATATTGTGTTCTGTCCTATAGATGTCAATCAGCTTTGCACTGACAATTTAAAATCAAATAAAGTTATGAGTTGGATAATGGAAACACAAAAATGAAACAAAAGAATTACCTTATTGGCCCCAAAGGTAGGTACTTCGCTCTAGGAACATAGCAAAATAGTGAAACAAGATCCAACAATCTTTCATGGGTTTTATATAGCTTCTTAAGATCCTCATCCGTCCATTTTTTCTTAGTGTTGTCATGATAGCGAATATCTCTGTTCGTGCAGGAACGTTTCATCGGTGCCCAAGATAAAAATGAGAATAAAGAAAAATGGCAAAGAAAAGAAGGGAAGTGTTTGAGGTTATACTTTATCAAATCGTCTTGAGCTTGATACATTTCGTCGAGCACTTTAATCATTGGACTAATTAAAACTCCGAGGCCAGTACCACTGGCTCCTTGATCCTCACCATTGCTAAGATGCATCTCTGAAAATTGAGACTGTAGACCACCTTGGGCTAAAGAATGTAAGAAGTCATAAATCTGCAGCCTATATGGCTCACCGGACCTGATGGCCACTGTTGTAAGAGCTTGAGCAGCAATTAGACGAACCTGAATCATACAAAAAGGTCTAATAGTTTGAAAAATATTACTACTATGCTAAGAAATTAGGCTAGATAGGATGTAAATATTGTCCTCTTTGAGTTTTCCCTTTTAGGCTTCCCCTCAAGGTTTTAAAACGTGTTTTCTAGGGAGAGGTTTCCACGCGCTTATAAGGAATGTTTTGTTCTCCTCTCCAACCGTGTGGGATCTCACAATCCACCCCCTTGGGGGCTAGCGTCCTCGCTGACACTATAGTGTTTGGTTCTAATACTATTTCTAACAGCTCAGCCTCACCGCTAGCAAATATTATCCTCTTTGGATTATCCCTTCCGAGCTTCTCCTCGAGGTTCTAAAACACGTCTGCTAGGAAGAGGATTTCACACCTTTATAAGGAATGTTTTGTTCCTCTCTCCAACCAACGTGGGATCTCACAAATAAAATATCTATTCTAAGCTTAAAAAAAAACATTCAACTTATTTCCAACTTCCACCAATATAGTTGTGAAGTAATGTTTCAAGATGGACAAAATTAAGTCATATTTATCAAATTCTTCAACATCAAACAAACACTGATGAAAGACTTTGCTGGATAACCAATAGAGGGGAGCAATACCTCCCAGCTTCCACTGAAGGCACTCCTTTGAAGACGAGTCAACGCACCAGCAAGCGTAGGATTGCGAGAGCCAGCAGCAGCAACCATTTTATCTGCATCTAACATCATCAATGCTGTACCAGGCGGGGTTGCTGATTCCCAAGCATACTCAGATGCAGCATAATTTGCATTCTCTCCAAGAAACCACACCTGTTCGAGTTAATTTAAAATGATTTTCTTAATAAAAACCAAGTTCAATACAAAAAATAAATGATAATACTAAAAGAAGATGCATACAGCAGCTTGCACCAATCGCTGCAAAGCCAGTGCTGACTTAGGATCAGAAGCTGAAACACGGTCGACTGAAGTAATCGATGTCATAGAGCCAGGTTGTGGTGGAGGAAGATCTAGAACTAAGGTTACTGCTTCCAAAGCTGTGTGCTTCCAGTCAGAACCAGCTCCAATAAGGCACGTCTGTAAATGGAATAACAAAATGGCATGTCTGTAAGCAACGATCCTAGATAGTGATGGCAAACTGACAATTGACTAGAATTGCTGCTTCAATAGCTCCCTAATGAGCAGAATAAGCTTTGTCACAGGTTTGATAACACAAGAAAATCATTTATATATGTCTATCAATCCCCGAACGATCATTTTAATTACACAACACAAGATTCGAGTGATGGCGATGGCCTTGTTATCACTATTTCATTATATGATCTCATAAGATTCCAGCTCTTGATCTAGACTAATCCAGAAATGGTTTTAACTTTTAACTGAACCAAACCTGATCAAATGAGAAATTTGGATAAGTGAACTGAATAGTGACTTACTTTCCATAGTAGTTGCAAGACATCTGCATCAATTTTCCCGGGAACTTTAGTTGCAAAAACTCGAGCGATTTGAAGAAGAGTGACAGCCATATCGGGTGTTGCCTAGAAACAAACATTAGTGCATATGCATTACTAAGATAAACAGAATATTTTTTTCTATACGAAACATACCTTAAATCGAGCGTGCAAAGTAAGTAAAATATCATTTAACAATGCTGCTGGCCAGGCTGGGTCAGAAAGCTCTGATGCAATCATGGATTCAAGTTCATCAAATGAATCATGGGGACTTTGCATCCATATCAAGGCCTTCATTATCATGGCTCGAACATAGACACATTCACATGCTACTGTTGTTCGTACTACTTCCATTAACGAAGCCAGCAGACTAGCAATCGTATCTTTCTCTCCCCGTCCATTCGCCACTGAAGCAGATCTCCGTATATCTAAAAAAAGAGGATGAAATTAAAGCAACATCTACAACATGCAATTCCTCAAGTTAAACAATGTTCACCAAGCTGCTTTGTTTCATGAGACGTCAAAATTTTGCTACTTTTGGTGAACTGACAGATTTTTCATACTGCTTTCCAAAGGGGAAGCATAAATAATAATGGTTTTGATTAATTAAACAAGATGTAATATGAGTGAGAGTTGGGAACAGAGAGAAAATTACTTTCAGAATGTGAGTTTCCTTTAGCATCAGAATCCTGTTCAGCTCCCTCATAAAATGAATTAACAAAAGCTCCTTCATCCATATCCTGTAGGCCTAAGGAAAATGCAGCAGCCCGACTTCTTCCCATCTCTTGTACGACTCGTGCCGCTGTATGAAGAACAGGCCTTGAGAAACTACGAAACGAACTTTCTAACCTGCATCCAAAGAATGTTCCAATGCAAGTGAACTCAACCTTCTCATTAAAATCATTCAAATCATAATGCAAGTGAACTCAACCTTCTCATTACAAGTTTGATGAGAGGTTGAGGACGTCTTGTCTTCTGAGATTTATTTCTGAAAGCTCCCTTCGACGGCGCTTGTGGCAGCTTGAGAAACTCCCTTGTCAGACGATACCAACCAGCAGCTCGCTCTTCAGTCCTAAAATACCAAAAATAAGGGAACAACCATTTCGTGATGAAAATAATAGTGATAGTAATAACTAACCTATCCGAGTTGTCTGATTTTCCTAGTACACATAATATTGCCTCAAAACAGACTCTTTCACTGGGATCAAGAAGAAGCTGATAAAGCACCGAGTTGAACTGCGACTTAATATCTGGCCGCTCTATACAAATCAATGTCACAAAAAATCATCATGATATACAAAAAAGTTAAAACTGTAAGGTACATACACAGTGATTTTAATTTTTACCATCCAATGCTCGAGCTCTCGATACTGAATGACACAACCGTGCTAGCGAAACTCTGGCAAGAACATCATGCAAATGGAGAACATCCAGTAATGCTCCTAAATGTAAAGGTAGCTAAAAAAATTGATGAATACTTCCTGACAATGTTAAGTAATCAACCCAATAAAGCTGCAGAAATTGGGTCAAAAGATCAAACATATTAATTTTTGCACACATTCTTAAATTTGGTTCTTTTTATGGTTCTATATTTGTGTAAATGTAAACATCCTTAATCAGAATAAATAAGAAGAATAAGTGGGTGGCTATGATATAAACGCATACCTCCATGTTGTACAAGTTTTCCTGAAAAAAGGCATAGGGTAAATCATTAGATGCACAAACTAGAAATTAACCGAACTTTAGTTAATTTTTAGATAAAACGTGACGACACTCTGAAAGAAATTTTACAAGTCGTAAACAGAAAATAACCTAGTGACATTGCAACTGCATAAGGATCTCTTGCAGCTAGCTCCGAAAGCATTTCCAATGCATGTCTCACAGCAATTGGATCAGTAAATGACACTCTGCAGTTAACACAGAAAAACCTTGATATTACAACAAAAAGATTAGTACAAGTTGATCAAAACATCAAGCACTATACAGAACATGAGCGGACAATCAAAGTAGCTAGGAGAAAATTTTTGGACCAAGTCCTTATTGATAATGAGGCAATTGAGGACTATCAGAATTGTAAGCAAGGGGGCTGTTTTTTATATTGATTTTGAGAAGACTTACAATCATGTTGGTTGGGAGTTTCTGGATAAAGTTTTGGGCAAGATGGGTTAGCTACAAACGGAGATCCTCAATGTGGTGTTGTATTAGGACGATCCGATATTCCATTCTTGTTAATGGCAGACCAAGGGGGAAGGTAAAGGAACTTAAGGGTTTGTCATGAGGCTTTCTTGGCCTAAATCCCTTAATTTAAATGGAAGATAAAAGCAAAAGCTAGCTAGGTTCATATTAATTTGTTTGTATCATATAAACAAGTAAAGTAAATGGGAAGTTGGAAGTTGTTTAGGCATTCAGAGAATGAGGTCCATACCCCTGTACGGCACGATGCAGAAATACAGGATTTCCAGGATCAAGGGGAAGTCTTCTCAATGCACTAAGCGCCGCTTGTTGCAAATTGCTCCTCATCACATACTACTGAATTGCAAGCGAGGTAAGCAAATAAGTAACGTCATGTACATGACACATACAATTGTGACAACATTTTTAATAGCTCAAGCCCACCGCTAGCTGATATTGTCCTTTTTGAGCTTTCCCTTTCAGGGTTTCCCTCAAAGTTTTTCAAACGCGTCTGCTAGGAAGAGATTTCCACACCCTTATAAAGAATGCTTCGTTCTCCTCCCCAACCGATATGGGATCTCACACATGTAAAGCAGTTAAATGATGAATTTGCATGAACATAAAACACCATCATATGAAGACACGACTAACAAGTGTCAGAAATTACCTCCTTATCTCCACCTTTAATCCCAAGTACCCCTTTCTTGCGTTTGTAAGGAGCATCGGCGACCTGGAAACCGAATACAAAAAGAAACATATTTGGAGTGTTTCTACTAGAATCTTAAAAAAAAAAAAAAACACAAATATTATTTATGTCGAAAGAAAATATCACAAGGGGAAAGCATTTTGGAATGCACATGAACACAGTCAAAAAGAAAAGATAAACAAATTGCAAAATCTCAAGGTGCTAAAGTGGATTATCCTATAAGCTGTTCCAGTATTTTGTTAAGTCACTATGAACAGCACCCAAAATTTGATAGCAAATTCCAACTACAACGAACAGTTATAAGGGTCTTAAATCTTTAGTATTTTACCCTGAAACTTATCCCACATAAATTTTTCAATCATCAACCCGCACCATTTTTGGTACAGGAACTACTCGAATAATGCACATGATAGATTTCAAATACTATGCATATAGCCAGAAAAAACAAACCTTATCAAGGATTGAAAAAACAATTTCATATAGTTGGGACAAAATCTCAGAGCTGCTTGAAGGAGCATAGGTTAAAGCCTTTAGTGCTTGTAGTCTTCTAGCATGAACTTCAAGAGAAATATAGTGTCAAAGGAGGATGCAAACATTTTATTACAGGAATCTCTTTCAACTCGATGAACAATATGATAATTCATTCAAATTCAATAAAAGGAAACCGGCTTACATTCAACATCAGGATTAGAGGCCTCAGTTACAAGCTGATTAACTATTCCGGGTACAACATCAGCTCGAGTCACCCCCCCGACTGCATCAATATCAGCTAAAGCATCCCAGTTAGGTGTTGGAATCCCACCACCTGTACTTACACCTTGTGCACTAGTATCTGATAAAATTCTGGCTAAATAATAGTATACGTAACGGAGCACACTCCTATCTTCACACTGCTGATTTAACTGTCAAATATAGGAAAAACATAATTCTTTGTTCTTTATTTTTTTTCTTTATTCCTTCAGAAGAAATACATTTCATAGGTAATAAAATGACAAAAATATGGGGGAATGAAAGCATCCATATGAAACACAATCATCCTCCACTCCAATTGGTTTTATCAACTAGAATTTCTATGCCTCATCTCCTTGTTTCTCGTTTAGCCCCTCTAGCTTTTTGTTCTTTCATCCAAGACTTAAAAACCATCTTCCAAAAAAAATATCACTAAACTATCTCCAATTACACACAGACAATTTTAAGATCCAAACTGTAATAGCCCAAGCCCACCGCTAGCAGTTATTGTCATCTTTGGGCTTTCCTTTCGAGCTTCCCCTCAAGGTTTTTAAAACGCATTTGCTAGGAAGAGGTTTCCACGCCCTTATAAAAGGTGTTTCGTTCTCCTCCCCAACCGAGATGGGATCTCATAATCCACCCCCCTTCGAAGGTCAGCGTCCTCGCTAGCACATCGCCCAGTGTTTGGCTCTGATACCATTTGTAACGGCCCAAGCCCACCACTAGCAGATATTGTCCTCTTTGGGCCTTCCCTTTCGGACTTCCCCTCAAGGTTTTTAAAACGCATCTGCTAGGGAGAGGTTTCCACACCCTTATAAAGGGTGTTTTGTTCTCCTCCACAACTGAGGTGGAATCTCACAATCCACCCCCCTCTGGAGCCATCCTCACTGGCACACTGCTTGGTGCTTGGCTCTGATACCCTTTGTAACGGCCCAAGCCCATGCTAGCAGATATTGTCCACTTTGGGATTTTCCTTTCGGGCTTCCCTCAAGGTTTTTAAAACACGTCTGCGAGGGAGAGGTTTCCACACCCTTATAAAGGGTGTTTTGTCCTCCTCCCTAACCGATGTGGGATCTCACACAAACAATTGGTAATTGATAATGGGTACAATAAAAGAGAACTATTTGGGATTCCATAAAGTTTCTTCACGGAAGAATGAACTAGACCAGTACGAACACAATTTATCTTATCAATAGCCATATTCTAGACAATTTTGAAGTCATAAAGATTACTTGATTGCTAACAAGAAATGAAATATTATCATACCATGAGCAGAGAAGGTGCCAACGAAGGATCAACTGAATTGTAGACGGCAAGTTTTGGGAATACATGATGAACTAACTGCTTCTGGGAGCTTTTCTGTAAAATTCACAGAAACATAACAACGTTTAACATGTTTTACCTCCAAATCATCACAATAATAAGAATCATCCCATACTGTTCACCTGATCCGAAGTAGCAGCGAGTTCATGGATACTCCTAGCTAATTGGGCATAAGAAACAGGCTGCAGTGCAAGTCAAATTGAACAAAACAAAATCAATTCAAAAAAAGATGTGAAACATGTAGGAGGAGGGCACCTTCTTCTTGCTCAGCCTCTGCGGCATCATGTTGGTCCTCACAGGATTCAAAGCGGCTTTAGCAGCAGAAATTGTGTCATTCTGGATCTGCATCAGTGCCGCCCTCTTAGACCTCTTCTCCCCCGCCGGCCTCCCCAGTGTAGAGGGCAGAGCACTTGAGGCGGAAATTGAAGATGAACTAATCGTTGATGGCGCGGCCAATGCAGCGTTTGTGGAGGACGATCCCGACGACGCTTTTGATGGATCGGCGGTAATCAGATCCATTAGCGTCGTCCCCGACGAATCCTGACAAAACCCCCAAAAATGAATGTTTATGAAGGAAATGTCGAAAATAAATTGTTCAAGAAGAGAAGGTCTGGAAAATTACCGCCATGATTGTTCGATTGATCCCTTCGACTCTGCTTGATTGCAATGCTCTCTGTTTGTCCTCCGCTCAACTTTTCTGTTCTGTTGGTTCGCAATTCGATTCACCAATGCTTCTAATTTCTTTTTCTGTTTTCAAAATCGTCTAAAACCTCATGAATCTATCTCATTCCGATCAGAAGAACTTCCATCGCAGGAAAAAGAAAAAAAAAAACAGGGTGTTCGCCTAAGAAATGGCAAATGTGCAGAACTGTTCGACCTCAAATCTATTCCAAATAGATATGCATGGTTCTTTATTTCGAGCCCCATGCAAACATCTAAATTTTCTATTTTTAGATATTTTTTTTAAAAAAATTTGTTTTTATGATATTATGCATGAATTTTCATGATATTATGTATGATTAGATACATCATGGTAAATTTCATCTTAAAAAATCTGAAAAAAATATTTAGTATGCTACTAAAATTTCCATTTTTTTTTTTTATAAATTTAATTTCAAATATTAAAAAAAATTATAATTTAACCGTTGTAGTTATAAAATTAAAGATGTTCCTATGACTAGAGAGAGTCAATTTCTAATGAATCAAGATAACCGTGAGAGCATTATCTGTTCTTCTACCGTGAGAAAGGCTGATAATAGTCATTATTTATTCTTCTATCGTGAGAGCATTATATGTTCTTCTACTGTGAGAAGGGTTGATAATAGTCATTATTTGTTCTTGTACCGTGAGAACATTATATGTTCTTCTACCGTGAGAGCATTATATGTTCTTCTACTGTGAGAATGGTTGATAATAGTCATTATTTGTTCTTGTACCGTGAGAACATTATCTGTTCTTTTACTGTGAGAGTGACTGATTGAGATTTTTGAGCAACTCACAACCTCGTACTCATTGAAATCGACCTCGTTGACCTCTTATCAATTGATTCTAAGAGATCATAAGCGAATTGCACGTGAGAGCATTATCTGTTCTTCTACCATGAGGGGCTGATTGGAATTTTTGAACAACTCACGACTTCGTACTCATTGACCCCGACTTCGTGCTTGTTGACCTCTTGCCAATTGATTCTGAAAGATCAAAAACGAATTGCACAAACACTTCTAATTCCACAAATTGAGCCAAGCTTTAATTATCCAAATTATTTTTTATACTTAAAATTTTTAGTTGAGTTAAAACTACTAAATTTACTTTTGTCGTCGAACTTCCACGAGGCCCTAAAATGAAAATGACATGGCATGGTTAGACAACTTTGGAAATTTTAAGATTTCTCGATGGCCGAGGTGGATTCGTAAAACCAATGTCTCAAACTATACGTGAAAACCCACGATTTCTCGATGGCAAAATCGAATTCACAATAACAGAAAACTGCCCCAGAATTGCAATGCACAACATCGTTGGAACAACTCGTTACCAGGCATCTATACTATGGAAGCTCTTAGGTTCATTCTGTTTGAATGTTCATCTGTTCATCTCTTGTTGTGCAGGGAAGGGCCCAGGAAATGATATCTGTTCAACTTTTGGTTGAACAGAATCACACATATCAATACAATCGGAGTTTTTGTGAGTATAATACAAGAAAAAATGATAGATCATGACATATCCAGAAGAACAGAATGATCATATGTTAATATAATGAAAACCTGGCATGAAGGCTCCCTCCTCCATGGATTTCCTGTATATCAGATATCCCATCTTGAAGCAACGACGTGCTCGGGTGTCACAGGAGAATTCGACTCGCTTCATCGAATCTGTTCACAAGCAGAGTAAAAGGGTACGCACAAAGAGAAAAGAAGATGACTTAAACAAGAGAGCAGTTTTGTTGTACATTTAACAGCAAATTACAATTCTGAGTATTCGCATTAAACCTATCTCCCTAGCTCCTTCATAAGTTCCTTATGGTCTAGACTCTAAGAGACATCTAGAATAACATATCAGACATTAAAAAAGAAAAAGAAAGCAACACAAAGAAAGGAGAAAAACACATAGCTCAGAGGTTAAATAAATCCTCTCCTCTGTTTGTAAGATTCACAGCAGCTGGCCCTGAACTTACTAAAGAAGCCACCCCATAAGAAAATATCAAATAAAACATGTCAACTCCCTAAGACAATGAAATTTTTTTGGAATTCCTTTATTAATCTGCTTCACCAAATGGGTAGCTATCATAAATACCCAGCAACTGGACTGTTGATACGATACGCAACGCGAACATGTTCTGCACACTTCCTACATAAAATCCCACTCAGCTAAACCCATTCCCTTTAGCAGAATCCTTCCACACGAGAAATGCGATCGACACCTTTCAAGGGTAAGGGAAAGTTTCAATGTAAATTAAGCAATATTTTATCAGAAAAGCTTCTGGACAAGCGCAAGTCAATTTTCCTCCAGCTGCTTTGGGCAATTGAACATGAAAAAATGGTAAAAAAAAAGCGTCAGATATCATCTTCACTGCTATGGATTTCTAAAATACTGCCTCAGATGTTATCAGCTATTGGAGAACAGAAAATCAGTCACAAAGGGTGTCTCAAGATGCCAAATACCTATCAAACTCGTTCATCTAAATGCTTGAAGGAATCAAAGGAGAGTCCAATCTTACGGCAAGATACTCAATTCTGCTAAAACCATATCCATTTTCAGATGTTGGACTTTCTTAATACTTAGTCTCTCCGCTTCAAGACTCGAACAAGTCTCAGACTTACTTTGCCGGATCATCATCAAGCGAAACTGAAGCATCTATTCTAGACGTTGCACTCTTTTCAATTTCTGGTTTTTCTTTCTCGTTATCATCAAGTTGAAGGGCTTGAGCAAACTGGTCAGAAATAGGGCTAATGGAACCATCCCCAAGTGAATTTAGAGAATTAGCAGTTGCAAATAGCTGCTGTCTTGTTTTCCTTTCTTTCAAAATCCTCTCCCGTTCATCATAGAAATCAAAATCATCTATAATAGATGTTCGTGGATCATGGTCCTTGAAAATTTTCAACATCTCAATACCTTGTTTCAGCGGCACCTGTCAATTTATGGCATTGAGAAATAACATCAAGAAGCATAAAGAAAGGACTAACAACAGTTACATGCATGTATGCGAAAATGCAAAGTGCTCATTGACCAGGTACCCTAAGCACAAATAGGAATTGAGAGTAATAGGCAATATAAATAAAGTTCTGTTCTACAGCAGTTCCCACATCAAAGTTAGATGGCAGATTAATAACTTTTTTTCCATGGTCAAAAAATTGTCCCTATAACTTTAGTATCTATTTGGTCTCTATACTTTCAAAACTATTTAGTCCTTGTAGTTCAAAGAACACCCACTTTTATTCCCTTTGACTGGTTGATTGTCCCCGCTTGATCTTCCTTCTCCCCCATCACTCATTTTTTCTTTTTTGACAAGGGTACAGATAGGGTGGGGAATTTGAGTGGGTCGGTCAACAAAAATATGCATACTATACAATACACCTTAGGAAAAACTTTAGTTGCAGGGCAAGTAATACATTTAAAAAGAAGGAAGAAGAAAGACATGATCCTCCGTGACATGAGTTTTAAAGCTTCTTGCCACATGTTACTTGGTTATAATTTAACATAGTAATCGCCTAGTAAAGGGTTCTACCTAACAACGAACAACTGTGTACACCGTTGCTACATGCACATAGATGAGGATGCAATTATTAAAGAATATTGATATCAAATCATACCTCCTGAGAATCTCTGCTGTGTGTAACTGGTTTATTGTCATTATTTTGAAGTAAAACATGCCGAAATCTAATATTAGGAACATCTTTGATGATATGCCACTTAACGGGAAATTGTCCACTCCACCTATCCTGCTGCCAGTAATCTGCATTTTTCTCAAAGTCAACAGGTCCAACCATTTCAGCTACACCACAAAATTGACCACTAGCATTAACCTGCAAGATAAACATGACCGACTTGCTCTTACAACATAATCCACTGAACTGTGGTCCAAAAAAAAAATAATGAATGATTGAAAGTATGCAACAAGAAGCAAGAAGATAGAACCCACAAATCTGTGGATGGAGATTCAATTCCACCAATACGCACAACATTGATGTTAAAGAAGATACCTAGTCTAGCTACACGATTTTAAAAGATGATATCACTTGAAGAATAAATTGAATATTATGAATAATTTACCACCCCGACGCACAAACTAAAGTCCTGCTCACTATGGCAAAATCTTGATAGCTTGAAGAAAAACCATTTAATTCTTTTTTGTTTAATTTTTTGTTATCATAATTATGCCAGGAAAAGATAAGTTGGGTTTAATGGTCACATAAATTGACGCTTGAATCCTACAGCCATTACCAGCAGACAGCCCTAAGCCCCATAAAAAGTTGATGGTAGTGTAGTAAGATAAAACAAACTCCAAAGGAGCCTACAGCCACTACTACGCCTTTTGTTTTCCTCCTGAAACCTCCTTGACTACCTCTCATAATAACAACTATGACGGAGGCAGGGGAAGCACTTATCTCTCCCCACTCTACGCACGAACAAGATTTCCAAATGAAAAAAAAAGGAAGTTAATTAAGAACAGTCTTCAGAGCTTACGGAGAAAAAGAGGAGAACTGGACAATTTCCTTGCATCTCTTTTGCCTCCCGGTAAGCAGCATCCAGTTTCTTGTTACCATGTGGAGTACTGGCCCAAATGTTGTACTTGATACTTCTATGAACATTATCTTCGCTAAATGACTTAATAATGAAAAACTTAGCAGTCTCGTAATCTGTAGCAAAATCTGGCCGATTGTAGGAATCAGGACTAACTGATAAAGTCAATAAATCGTTTTTTATTGTACCAGATACAATACTTTGGTCGCCTTTACCCTTGGCCTTCAAAGCTCTTGGTCCTCGATTACGGTCACTAAAGATGCCATGCGGATCATTAAAAAGTGAAATTGAGTCTCTATCTCTGTCTCTTACTCTGTCCTTCTCAAAGGTAAGTCGGCTTCGGTCATTTACAACTGGATAAGAAATGGATGCACCACCGAAGTTAGAGCCCTGATAAGAACTGCTTAATGGGTACCGAGCATCATAAGCACTTGACACCAATCCAAATCCATGCATAGGTCTCTGTTGTAGAGAAGCCTAGAAAGAAAACAAGTTAATAGCGAGATAAAAGTATAAAACTCTACAATTTGAACCAAATAATAGCATTGCCAATAGAAGGACAAGAATGTACAAGTATAACATGAATAAAGGGTTTTCACAGTAGATACAAAAGGCCATAGTTTTTAAAATTATATAGTGCACATATACCATCACTCAAATGCAGAAATGATGGTGTGATGGGTGGTCGTGGAATCAAAGAAAAAAAGATTGCTAACTTATTAGCTCATGCTCACTAACTAAATCATAAATTCAAGAAGTGAATTTTATCGTAACAAAAACAGAAACTAGGCAACTAATTCCAGTTTTAAAAGGTTTTCTAAGTCGTACGCCATCAGGCTAGCCACAAGCTTTTAACTTATTGTCTTGGTGTAATACTGATTAAACACACAAATTTTAGCAATTTAGCCCTTTGAAGACATTAATTTCTCTCATTGCACTCAGCAATCATTATGCTTAAACACATGGTTTTGCATTTTTATAGTTTTATTCTATGTTTCTTATTTTATTTAAATTGAGGCTTATAACTAATCCAGTATTTATTACCCTCCCTCTTTTCTTTAAGTATATTCATGTATCATTGACAAACTAAAAAAATAAATCAACAAAAATTACACAAATCTCCGTTTCCTCTTTTCTTTATGTACATTCATGTATCTTTTACAATTATGTAAGCCTGACTTTACAAGCATTCTCTCATCCCAAATTATCAACAACCAAGAACAAGGGAAAATACCTAAAAGGGAAAAAATGACGACCCATTATGTTGTATTTAGGAGCTGTAAACTTCTTATTCAAGTAAAAAAATTATTTTGAAATGTATCCTATTATATTCCAACCAAATGATGAGAAGAACCATCAGTCATTTCCTTAAATTTATTTTCTAAAATACAAATTTATAAATTTTTTAAAAACTAAAAAGGCCCAATATCAGAGAGGATAGAAGAACGAGCACTGAATCAGCCAATTAACCCTGCTTGACTTATATCTCCATGCCCATAACAAAATACCCCATTGGATTTTCAAAAGCAAAGGCATAAATCTTTTCTAAACAAGTGTTAATTATTTAGTGTATACATAAAATTATGGCACATACCACATGCATAAATAATAATTTTCCATTAACAAGAATTATCATGAAGTAAATGTATAGCAGCTAACAGATCCCTAGCTTATCAACCTATATAAAATTCACTTTAAGAGACTTATCCAAAATATTATCAAAAGTATGTGATAAAATGTAAAATACCACCTTACATTTCAAACCCTTACAAAATGCGCCGATTTATTTACTTAACCTTACAACATTTGAAGTCGATATATTTGTAAAATATTTGCATCTTAACCAAGTGCCATTGAAAACTTGAATTTACCAAATCAATGTATATGAGTACATGCTTTGCTCCCTTGCTTATATGAACCTTAACAAATCCATAAAAACTCACTCCTCAAGCTTAGAATATGTGAAATCAAGAAACTAGTTCCACTGGCACAACAATTGCTAGTTTCTCCCTCATTTCTTCTCTTTCTTGAACGAGAATGAGCACTTTCAGTAATCAAGCTTAAGCAAATTAGATTAAATCAAATAGATTTGATATCATTAATAAGTATCTTAGTTACTCACACTCTATATAATTTTAGTGCGCAAACAAAATTATTTAGTCCTACATAGTAAGTTATTTTGTATTTAATTAAGAGTAGAGTTCAGTAAGGTTTGAGTTATTGGAAGTTTAATCCCAAAATATGTAGTATAAGGTTTCATCAAGAAGTAACCACACATTACAAAAGCAAGAGAAGAACAAGAAAGAAGAGAATTTGAAGAAAACCAATGTTGTTCCCAGCGTAGTACAAGTCACAAACTATTTTACTATAAAGAAATAATTTGATATTTCTTCCTCGAATGTCTTTTTAAAGAAATAATTTGATGTATCTTATCAATAAAATATTATGATGACAATAAGATTTTATGGGGATAAAATGTGACATGAAATATCTCATGCTGGCTAATAGAAGCAATATCAAATAGGGATTTAAGGTTGTAGAAGCATCTAATAGCCTTTCCTAACTATAACAATATTATGCTAAGTCAACAAACAAACCTGTCCAACATTCTGATCATTGGAGCCAAACATTCCCATTGGTTGTGGATAAGCTGCTGGAGATGATAAAGAGCCTGAACCAAGATTTCCCCCACCATAGGACCCAAAATTTAGCAAAAAACCTGTTCCAGGCCCATAGAGCATGTTCTCAAATGCACTACTCTCAGGTGATATCATCTCTGTTGGAGAAACTGGAACTGCTGAAGATCCATGAGGTAAACCAGGTGCAGCTTGTTGTGGGTAGTATGATGGGGAAAATGGAACTTGTTGAGGAGAATACAGTTGCCCATCTAACATAACAGAAGGCATAGGAGTAGCAACAGGTGAATATTGTCCATATGCCATATCTGGATTGAAGCCATAACCAGAATGAAAGACAATAGATGGACTATCATTGTACATGACCTGATCCATGGACAAATCAAAGGGTGAATTTGTTATATGTAATTGATTTATAGATGGATATTTTCAAAAGATGAACAGTATATTTTCAGAAGTAGACTCACCGGCGATACAACAGGAAAACTATCAGCATTTACATATTGTGAATACGCATCCCAAGCACCAGTACTACTTCCACCATATCCTGAAGACAGCACAAAGCCATGACATGTTAGAAGATTATTTTCGCAGTTATAGGAGTCAAAAATAGGTAACAATTTGTGAAAACTAATATTTACAAAAATGTCCCACATGTGTCAATTAGAGTTGTCTTCAACTCAAATGGTAATCCCCTATGATGGACAAAAGCAAAATATTCCTTTTTAACAAGAAACAAAACTTTTCATTGATAAAATGAAAAGAGACTCAGGTTCAAAACACACAAGCTCCACAAGGGCTACAAAATACATAATGTATGGAATGGGGCACCATACCCCAATTATAAAAATATATTTAGAAAAGAAAAATAAAATAAAAGGCAAAGATTTCTTGTAGGAAGGCCCATAGATGGACAGAGGGTTGCACCTTGTAAAGCGGAAGGTTTCTCTATTCCTTAGGAGGTTGGTGACATGGACAAGGATAACAAGTATCATAAGAGGAAGGAATGAATACTTGCTTGCTAAGGCAAGGATTACGGTTGAAAATGCTTAAAATTCAATTCTAAGTGGAGTCATGAAGGGGTAATATCCTATGACTATCACATTCCTAGGAAAATACATGATTTAAAGAACAAAGGAGAATTTCTGGGGATATTCCCTCAAGTACATATTATATCAATACTGGAAGGCAACTGTGCTATTCCTCCTGGTTCTTGTCTAGTAAAGAATAGGTGCTTTTATGGTCTCATTTCCTAGGACGATTGAATACCCATAACAAATTCCTAGCAATATATCCTAGTAGTGCAATTGTAAGCTAGTTAGTTCCTTGGTGCAAGCTGGGAGCAAGAGGAGGAGATTATCAATTTCTGCCATATCTTCTTTGAGATTAAGTAAAAGTTTGTTCAAACATTGATGACTTAACAATGTTCATCCCTAGATGACTACACCCCGTATACTGATCCATATTCTTTCCTGAACACACCCTTGAGAAGGAGGGATGGAGGGAGGGAAAAAAAAAATAGTATTTTTATTTAATTAATGCCCATCCAAGAAGATTCATTTAACTTCTCTGGCTTTCTCCTTTGGGGTCTGTAGCCCACTGTACGCTTCATCGTCTTTGTGAAATTTTCATTTTTTGTCCCCATACAAAAGAGCAATGAAGAATACAAGCTGTCCCAATCCTAAATAGATAATAGCAGTGAGGAGTTTGGAAGACTAACCACCATATTGCATATTTGGTTCGTGCGAAGAAGCATAAACATTCACTGGATGAACATTGCCAATACTTGTTCCTGAATCCATAAATACTTTCTGCTCTATGGCATCTCTCGACGGTCCAATAACGGATGAATTTGGAGGACTTGCTGAAGCAATCCTTCCACCTTTAGGTGAGAGTTGCTGATAATGAATCAGGAAAAAAATGCCAGAGGTAAACATCAGTAGTCAAAACCTATAAACATGTAAATCAACTACAAGGGAAAATAGAGAAGGGTTGAGTGACATTACTGGCTCTATCAGGTTATCTGACCTAAGAGATCTTTCTCCTGCATAAAAATTGATTGTTCAGTGCCCCTATAGAGGACAGAAGTACTTAGAAAACGTCTATTTGTTCTAAAAATTAAAACCCAGAAGAAGAAAGGGAATAATTAGTACTTTGGCCTACTGAATCTTGTCAAGTACTAATCAAGACACTTTTTCAGTCTATGTAGATCTTAGACAGATCCATCATGATTGACTAAGAACACACCACAAAGGGCAGTTCATTACATGGTCAACAGAACCACTGTGAAGTGTCAACTCAAAGATTGAGAAAAAAAAAAAATACGGGGAAAAAAAACAAAACAGCAATGATTTTTAGCTCTCTGTCGGTGCGTTTCATGGCAGAGAGAACATCCATAGTACAGCAAACAAAAACCCTAGACTACATAAACAGGTAAACCATAAGATTTCTAACTACAAAGCGACCCAAGCACCGTACATTCCCAATTCACAAACCCAAAAAAAAAAAAAAAAAAAAAAAAAAAAAAAAAAAAAAAAAAAAAAAAAAAAAAAAAA